CCCAAGTGGCTGTGGGGGGGGGGGGTCTGTGCGTGCCCTCCATCACGTGAGTCTTCTTATTTTTGTGTTTGCTAAAGTTCGGTAACTATTGTGGTGCGGACCTCAATGCAGGGACCCTAAAACGTGTCACGGGCCACTTATTAAGTCAAAACTCCCATCTTAGTACTAAAAGAAGGTATAGTATCTTTAATAGGTGGTGGATCGTGCTCAAAACTCAAATTTTGAACCCTAGGAGTGACTTCTTGATTTCACTGTAAATATGAGGATGATTTGATGTTACTATATTGTAGAAATTCAGATATGTTTTAAAATCATGGTGAATACTTACCAAAACTTAATAGGGTAGAAGAGAGCTCTTGGAGGTTGGTGGAGTCGACCAAAAGGTTAAAAGTGAAAACAGAAACCCCAAAATAATGTTTTGAAACTTTAGGTACAGCTATGTGGCCCACCTAGCCTCCCACATGACCCACGTAGATCTGGGAATATTGCTGGCCACATTCTGGAATCGTCCAGTCAGGCTACGTGACCCACACAGGTTAGCCCGGCAGCGTAGCTGCTCTGCTACCTTTTTGTAAAACGATCATAACTACTTATTTAGAAGTCGGATTGATGAGAGGTTGGATGCATTGGAAACTTGACTCGAAGTAATTTAATTTGATAGGTTATTGACCATGTAACTCTTCATATTCTAGGAGATATGATCGATTGAAGCTCACCCTCGTATGATCTTATACGAAAACTTAATCGATAGAGAAACTTTCAAGTCAACTTTGTGCTAAAAGTCCGTTGTGAAAATTCAAATACACTTCCCACACTTATGATTGGACCTTTACATCTAAGCGCAATCACATTCATTGAGTTCAGGTCTAATTTCATACGTCGAATGTTCCAAATCATAGTCCAAAGGTTCGAGGTGTTACATATACTTGCACTTCTGACATAGTGAATTACAAGTTCTTCCATTCGATTACACACTGCAATGGTGGTTTTCTTGGCCGCAAAAGCCGTCGCAGCCACCAGCAGTTTTTCCATGGATTTCATGTTCCAAAACACATCCTGACCCTGGAACTTCACTCAAATCATACCAAAGAAGTCATAAAACATAATATGAACTTGTTAACATGCTTGAAACATATTTGGAATGCAAATACTCAAAATAAGGAGTTGAGGTTGTTACATTTTGTGATGAGTATTAGGAATGGGAATGAGGGAGAGGGGAGAAATGGGCAGTATAAGTTGGGTAACACCTCTTGATCTTGTCAGTTTATGCTGGAAAATGACTTTTTTGCCAGTGCCCATTGGGAGGGGGTGGGAAAATTTGAAATATCAAGTGCTGCTTTCATCTTTGAATTCTGTTCCATATAATTATATAAACTATGCATTGAGTGACTCAGTTATGCTTCTCCCTGAATTATATTTAGATTTTATCGCCAAAATGGTATGTGGAGTGTAAAAAAATATATTATTTTATTGCGAAGATCATTCCAGTGTTTGAAGTTCTTTTTTCTTTTTCTCTTTGACATTATACAGGAACTAGTTACTGAAGCTAGATTTTGGGGAGCATTTGGGTTGTATTCGATTTTAACATTGGTGCGTGATTTGTTTTCTATGAGTTAATCTGCATTTTGTGTTCTTCTTTTGCGGTAGATTGACTTCGTCACCTCAGTTTGGCCAAGCATGTGTTTTCCTATTTGATCAAAAAATAAGATGGCTAAATGGCTTCCTTCAAGCAGGCTTACCTTGCTGCGGGGCTGAGTGGAGGTTTCTTGACATTTGTAATGTCAGCATTCATGCTTCTTGCTTGGATTTCCTTTCGCCTGTCTATGAAGTCCTTTGTTGTCGGATCATTTAGGTATATCTGTTTCACTGCTAACTACTTTTTGTTTGTATAACTCCAGAAGACTGTATATTCTACTGTTGATAGTTTATGCTTCTGACGTTCAAACCTATTGCTCATTAGTTAATTTTAACGTACTCTGCTGATCAAAAGTTGTTTTTGTCAGGTCAACTGCATGTTATGTGATCCCTCTCATTCCTTGTCTAATGTACACGGTGTATTTTGGCGGATTTCTTGTTGCTTTTGTGATTGAAAAAATGGGCATGACAGGCTCACTTCCCCCACCTTTTGGTTAGTATTTCTGACCTGGTTTCTAGAGTAGATATTGACTGAGTACACTTGTCAAACATTTGATCCCTTTCATTTCTTGCCTTAATGTATGTGGTGTATTTTGGTGGATTTCTTGTTGCTTTTGTGATTGAAAAAATGGGCATGACAAGCTCACTCCCCCTTCTTTTTGTTCGTGCTTCTGACCTTGTTTCTAGAGTAGATATTGTTGAAGCATACATGCCAAACATTTGATGATTAATTGATAAATCTGTACTTATTTCTAGAAGATTGCCATTGCCATTGAGGTTATATGTAATGACTTCAGCATGCTAGCCTTACGTTCCACGTAGATACGTTGGCACACAGGTTGATCTACATAATAGTGGCATTGATTAACAAATTTGCAACTAATTAGACAATGAAATGAAAGGTTGAGTTACCGAACCTGAGTCAAAATCTTGCAGTCAAATTGGTATTTTAGATCAAGTTACAACAATTGCAGTTGAAATTCTTTAATATAAATAGTGCAGATTGTTTATTAATCCATGCTGAAATGCTTCATTTATGCACTGAATCTCGATTAGACTAGCTTCTTTTCATGTCCTGCTATCAAGCTTTAAAAATTCATCTCTCTTAGTAGTGACCAAATTATAGAGCATGTGATAAAAATTCTTTTAATTTTGGAATATGTAGTCTTAGTCTCTTGGTTAATTTTGCCTTCTTGAAATTTGTTGATTGCCATATTCCAGAATTATTTCCCTCTGGTACCAGTAGGGCTGGGCACATTTTGGTTTGAACTGAAAAAACCAACCGAACCAATCTTTTATTTTAAAAATAAATTGGCTTCGTTTTTTTGGTTTGTTCTGTCAGTTTCAGTTTTAATTTTTAAAAATTAAGTTATTTGGTTTGGTTTTTGGTTATTGAATATTTTATTCAGTTAACCGAAAAACCGAATTTCTAGCACTGAAGCTGAAGCGTTGGTCGTCCTGGCGGTGATCTGCGTCTCTGACTCCATTAGAGAAACAAATGGTTTGCATAGAAGTGGCACAACACTCTTGCCAATTGAGATTAGTGAGGTGTTTGATTGCTTCATTGAGAGAAATGAACACTTCTGATGATATCTCCTCTTGCAATGTGGAGGGTTGCAGGTCCATCAACTCCAGCGTGTTCACCGCGTCAACCAGATACTACTGTAAATTTGGCACATCTGAAGAAGTAAGAATTCTAGTGGTGGGCATTCCTATACACGTGTGGTCCCAGAAAGTCTTCCAAGAAATTGGAGAAGTTTGCGGAGGAAGAAACAGAGCTCAAAAACCACATGAAGTGGGTGAGAATACTGGTGGCCAACGATAGTAGGAGAATTCTGAGAGAGGTATCATAGGACGGAGCAGAATTACCTTTCACTTTATGGGTGGAGTGCAAAATTAGATTCAAAATATCGCCAGAACTAGGTTGTGAACTGTCGGAGAAGTCGCAAGGATGAAAGCCAGTAGAAAGTTTAAAATATCACCAGAACTAGAATCCCATCAATTTAGGAGTTCTAGTCAGAGACAACACGTGGGTGACAAGCCTATGACAGCTGAAGGTGAAAATTTAAATGAAACATGTGACTTGCACATGACTCACTTAAATGTGAGACTGGATTTGGGCTTCTCGGACAAGCCCACGAGAACTGAACCCCAAAAAATTAATTAACAGCTGGAGGTGAAAATTTAAATGAAACATGTGACTTGCACATGACTCACTTAAATGTGAGACTGGATTTGGGCTTCTCGGACAAGCCCACGAGAACTGAACCCCAAAAAATTAATTAACAGCTGGAGGTGAAAATTTAAATGAAACATGTGACTTGCACATGACTCACTTAAATGTGAGACTGGATTTGGGCTTCTCGGACAAGCCCACGAGAACTGAACCCCAAAAAATTAATTAACAGCTGGAGGTGAAAATTTAAATGAAACATGTGACTTGCACATGACTCACTTAAATGTGAGACTGGATTTGGGCTTCTCGGACAAGCCCAAGAGAACTGAACCCCAAAAAATTAATTAAAAGCCCAGATAGAGCTGGACAAGTGATTTTCTACGAAATTCAAGGAGATAGCAGTCCAGAAGTTCTCAGAGACGACAACTTCATTGATGCCATGGCTCTTCAGGTATCTTGGCATGCAACAATAGTTACAAAGAAAAGGAACACCTACGTGGCAATGACGATGATGGCAACCAATGTTGTCAAAGGCGCGCTTAAGCCCTGATGCGAGGCTCAAAACGTGTTGAGCACTTCGCCTCGCTTTATGTGCACTTCAGTGTCGTCATCAAGGTTCTAAGGCTAATATTTCCTTGCCAATGAGCCTCTTCTAAAGAACTGACACTAAACAATTGATATCTCATTTGATCATAATTTTTTTAAATTTCTTTGGTCATATATTTGTCATTCATGTATATAATTATTAGTCTTGGACTAAACAAATATATATTTGTTTCTTCTCCCTTTGTGCCTTTTTTCATTAAAGCCCACACTTTATTTGCGCTTTGCGCTTAAAGACCTCACACACCTTAGAGCTTTGTTGCGCTTTTCGCCTTTGATAATACTAATGGCAACAGAGGACCTAAACGGGGGAAATCTTTTGGCGGTAAGAGAGTAAGATGATCTCTCAGAAGCAGAATTGGCGATAGAAGCAACAGTGAAAGAGAAGAAAATGGACTTATGTTTTTAATAAGGAACTTGTTAATTGGAAGGTTGAAGCAAAGGCAGTTGTGATCCACCACCAACAAGCAAGCGAAGTGAAAGAGCAAGAAACCTCCACTTGGGTAAAACTAAATTTGATTAAGTTGGGTAAAATTTTTGGGGTATGTAACTTATATTATACAGAGAATGACTTGTTTCTTTCTATTCATCTAGACAAGATACTTATACAAATACATATGCTTCTATGAAAGGAAACTAATCAAAGTAAATCAAGGAAATCAACTAAGAATCTGCTCCTATAATTAAGTTAGCTATATTTATTGAAGATATAATATTTACACCTATTATATTCTATAACAGGGTACTATCTAGTTAAGGGGGAAACAATGCAGCTACCTAAGCTCTCAGGTGGTCTTGGAGTTAGGAATCTTCGAATCCTCAATGAATGCCTCTTGATGAAATGGCTGTGGAGATATGTGGAAGAAGAACAAGCTCTTTGGAGAGAAGTTATACATCACAAGTATGGCCGGGACTCGCAATGGTGTACCAATGAGGTTTCTATGCCATATGGAGTTTCAACATGGAAAACAATAAGATCTTTCTGGACCAAACTAACAGGAAACATCAAACTCAGAATAGGAAATGAAGCTAAAATCCTATTCTAGAAAGATGTTTGGGTAAGACAGGAGGCATTAATGTAATCTTTCCTTGACTTATTTTCTTTCTGTAGCAATCCAGATATCACGCTAGCTGAGAGTTGGGCAAATGGTTGGGATATATCTTTTAGGAGACGTTTGAATGATTGGGAAATAGTTAGGGTGGCACAATTGTTACATGCAATCAATGAGTTTAATGGTTTTGCTGCAAGGACAGACAGTCTCGCGGGTACACTCTGAGGATGGAAGGTTCACAATTAACAAGCTCTATAAGAAGGAATTGGGAACTCAATAAGGCCTCAGATTGGCTAGATGGAAATATGTATGGACAAGCCAAGCACCAACCAAGATCAAATGTTTTGTATGGTTGGTAGCTAAGAGGGCTTGTTTGACTCAGGAGGTACTGTTGAGGAAAGGTGCACAACTAGTACCTAGGTGTTTTCTATGCAAATGAGACAAATGAGACCAACAACCATCTTTTTCTAGACTGTAGAGTCATAGATCAACTATGGTCTCTGTTTTTGAGGCTCACTGGTAACAGTTGGACGATGCCAGAGAATACTGCTGATCCGTTGAGTTATTGGATCAGGAGAGAAGGAAGTAAAAATCAAAAGAAGTGGTGGAGAATTATTCCAGCTTGCATATTGTGGTTCAGTGACAGAGCCAGAATTTTGATCAAGGGGTGTCAAAATATAAAGAAGCAAAATTGCATAGAAGCCAAAGAGTGTCAACTTGTAATATATATATACATATAAGTGCATTAAGATACGAAGGCTTCTTATTCCACAACAACGAAAGCACTTTTTCACTCTTTCATATACTAGGGGATTTCACTTGGAAAAGAAAATGTTCCATACTAATGGATTCGGGTTCATAACCATGGGTTCCAAAGTATGGGGCAAAGGATGTTGCGTTTTGACTTTGTCTCCCAGGATCCACCACAGGTTGGGTTTGAGAGCCGTGTGATGGGTGACTATCCAGCACGGTTCAAGTTAGGTGCACCTCTCGCCTAGTGGGAAGTAATGAGGCTAGTCTGCCCCCCTTTCCCCCTGTCCTTGTGTGGGCCACCCTTCTGAAAGGCGAAAAAGCGGGAGAACCCACTTAGACCCAATAGCGGGCAGGGAATTCGCTATACGCTCTATCTGTAACGAGGTTGGAGTTGTTGCGAATGAGCAATCTATATATATATTTATATACATCAAAAAAATATTTCTATCTGGCTACACAGTATGTGGCTCCGCCACTGTGGTGGTCAATATGGAAGGAAAGAAAAACAAATGAAACTCCATGTAGAAAGTTAAAGAGAATTATATTGCATATTTGTATTTTTGGTGTAAACAGGAATGCATGGAGGAGGTAGAGCAACTAGTAGATATGCTAGGATCTTTGTAATTAGCCTTCCTAGTTCCTGTGTGTACTAATTTTTGGAGGTCACTAGAATATTCTTAATGCTGAGGAATACAACATTACTAATTTCAAAATAAATAAATAATTTTAGGGTAGATTTCCAAGGATATGAAGAGGAGACCACAAAACTACTCCTGCAGATTGATAGCTGCAGACATGCAAGGAGAATGGAGCAGGAGGTTGAAGGGAGAAAGTCAAATATCAAGGGGGCACAAGAATTGAAAACCCTCGTTTCATTTGATGTACAATTCAAAAACTCTAGGAGTAGGA